TGCCACAGTTCTGCATGAGCCATGCCTGTCTGTGGCCTCTCACTTCCAAACTGTCCTTTCTCCTGCGATAGTACATCTTTTGATGATTGTCATGCAGACTTCTGTGGCCCCCGTCCCTGATCTACTGCTTCTGTGCTGCGAACTCTTTATAGCAGTGATCTCTAGCATCGTTCCTGCATATGTGTTTCTTGGTACTGGCAGAGTTCTTAAGAATAACATCCGAAGGGTCTTGAATGGAACGGGGGCAAAACACATGTGCACACACAACCAGGGAACATCTGATCACTCCTTATGAGTTGACTGACTAAGTTCTGAGCTCATCCCAGAAGGGCGTATCACAGATGTGTGTCTCAGTTTAGCCATATAAGGACTTCTTTCTGTATGTTTGTGGACATAGAAACCTGTCCACATGACCACTCAGGGAATAAGCATCCCCTTATTGGAAAATAAACAGCTATCTCCCAAAGCAAGGAACCTGTGCTTTCCTTTCCTCTGCGGCCTCAGTGCGCCTTCAGGGAATGTCCGTTCACAGACAGCTGCCTTCGTTGTAGGATGATGCTTTCCATGGCACCTCCCAACTTTTTGTGATTGGCTGTGTCCCCTTGGCAGCCATCTTATGGTGGCACCTACTTTTCTCAGAATTTGGAAATGCACAGGGGGAAGGGGACCCCTGGTTAAAACAAAGCATCTTCTTTACCTGGAAAGCATGCAGCCCTGTTTAAACTCTAGAGAACAAAGGTAGGGATCACAAAGTAGAAATTGTTGTGCTGACATAAGAATCCATTAAGGTGGTTTTCTAGAGGGAGACTTTTCCTGTAAAAATTACATAGGACAGATATAATGGAGCATGATGTTACCTTTCTTCCTGTGTCACTGTTTATCAAGGACATTCAAAAACCTTCCAAGGTGGTAGAGCTGAAGATTGGATTACATGGCTTTCAAACAATTTTAGTAACTCCTAGACCAATACTGGGAATGTTTTTTGGTTTTTTTAAATGACCCAAATCTAGTCTTAAAAATTAAAAAGTGAACAGTTTCATTTGTATCTTAAAACCAGAAAGGGGGTTGCATTTTACAGGTTGGGGGTATAATGTCCTTGGCCACAGCAGATCTTCACAGATGCCACTTCCCCATGTAGGTGATGTTTGGAGTGGGGTGGTAAGCAGCTGGTGGAATGAAAGTGCAGCATTAAAAGCTGATACTATGGGATATGGCATGGCTCAGTTTTTGTGGTCAGCCACGTGGCATAAGAGAGCAGATGAAGATGGTCAGACATTCTGCTAGAGGAGATCCTCCTGAGCGGCACTAGAATAGCTTCTCCAATTGTATTTATGACTTCAGTTGTCGACTTTACTCAAACTTGTGGGAACTACTCTTGTTTGTTTACTGTTTACTGGTTGGCTTTAAATAGTCAGAGTTTGTGTCTGGCAATAAAGGCAGTTCAGTTAACCAACTGTGCCTGTTCTTGGAAAGAGAAGCCACTGCTTCCAAGTGTTTTTGTTTGAAAGCTGTGAATAATTTAGAAGAAGCCCAACTCTTAAGTCTTGTCTGTCTGTACAGTATTAGGCCACTGTGACCTCTCCATTCATTTTCACTGTGCTTTGACTAAGAACTTGGAGAGCTTGAAAAGCTCTGGATGCCGAGAGTCTTATGGATGGTACATTTCCTCTTCCAGTGCTTACTTGGATAAAGATGTTGCTGTGTCCGAAGAGCTTGTTCAGAAATACAGCCATGTTGTGCTTGGCCACTTCAACAACACAATTAAGGAGCTCAGGCGCCTCTTCTTGGTGGATGACTTGGTGGATTCTCTGAAGGTAAGAGTCTTCCTGGATTATAACAACCGTTGACAGTGACTGGTTTAGCAGTGGGGAACTGGGGGAAATGCTCAACAATCAGGTTGCCATAAGAGGCCATTTGGTAGACTAGAAACAAACAAAAGTCACAAGGTGGGCAAAGAAATACTTATGCCGGCTTTAGAGGAAATATTGATTGGCAGGGTAGTTTGGACTTCTCTGTTCTCTCTATAGCAAAATGAGTGGTGAGATACTCCTGGTCTTTGTTCCCATTCTCAGTTGTGGATGTACTAGGTTTGCTGCTTTAGAGGTTGCTTTCCTCTAAAGATGTCACGTGGTCCAGAACCATGGGAATTGGTCATTTGTGCATCAGTAAATACAGTACAGTAAAAAAAAATACATACCACAAACAAAAGTAGTGGTAGAGTGCAAGACAGACTTGCAGGGTCTTGCAAGAGGAGTAGGAGGAAGCAATATTGTGCTGCCTTGTCTTGCTAATGTGGGTATGCCTGTCCTGCTAGTGGATCTGCCACGTACCAATATATGGTCATAACATTCATTAAGGCCTTCTGGATAGATTTTTTAAAAAACCCCAAAACAGTCCTACTTGATTATTTCACATAAATATGGCAATCGACCTGTACAGTTTGGTCTTGCATGTGTGCACTGAATGTTATGTGCAATTATTGTGGATGGGGATGTCTGGATGTCTGTTTGGCACACTGCAGTTTGTCCAGACTGGCTGTTCGATACGCAGGGCCTTGCTGCACACAGCTGGTCTCCATCACAGGAGAAATGCAATCTTTGTGGAACCAGCAACAAAAGGATTTGTGTTTTCAAAACCAAATTGTATTTGTGTGTGTAAAATAAATAAAAAACTTCAAAAATTTCAAGAATTTCCATATCCTTAATCCTATCTGAAGGAGTAGATGCTCTGATGAGTTTGGTTATGTTAAATCACTTACTAGTTGTCAGTTCACCCAACATATTTCATTGTAATACTTTAATCCGCACATGATTTTTGAGGCTGTTAGATTTTTGAAGAGTGCAAGAATCATGCACTTTTGCTCCCCCCCTCCCATCCGAGTGCATCCAAGATACTGTAATGTTGAACGTGTACTTGTTTGGAAGCTGAATGTGTTTAGCAAGCCGAAGAAAAAATCTGCATATATAGTTTGCATGAAATAACACATCCTTGGCAAGAGGGGTGGAACTCGATGTATTGGAAGCACAGAGTTTGGAACACTGTCATTTTGGGGAGCAGTAGTTCCCTTGATTTCTAACCAGAATTAAGACTTAAAGGGAAATACAATTTAGTAAAAAGCCTTTAAAAATCATAGGTGAGGCAAATTAATGTTCCAGGTGGGGAGATGTGCTCGTAGGCCCCGCCCTGTCTATGGCCTGGATGGGCTTTGGTTGTGAGCTGTGAAGCAAGTTTTTTCCAGTATTAGTATAGAGTTCTGTGGCAGTCTTCAGTAGCCACAGAGTTCGCAGAGTGGAAAGATTAGCTGTGTTATCAGAGAGGCTGACACATTGCATGACACTTTTGTATAATAATTAACTGATGTCTGTTGTGCTTTATTGAGTTAAAGCAGCTGCAAGGTACTGGTTGGGTAAGTTGAGGGTGCTGAAATTTAGACTCCTTGGCTTGATGCATTTGATGAAGGTTCTTCATCAGGACCAAGCCAGAATCTTAGCTTACTCTGTTTCATGCTCTTTCCCGGTATGTAACTGATTAAGACACACAGGATGTGCTCTTTAAATACAATGGACAATTCCCAGTAGAGGCGTTAATCAGTCTTAAACAAATTGGAAGAAGAAGGTAAATGTGTGGAATTTCCCACCATTATATGCAGATTAATAACATAAGAGTAGTCCTGCTGGATCAGATTGACCCCAATACATTAACATTTCCTCACAGGGTAGGTGCTCCAACACATTGATCATTTGAGTTGTACTTTTCTGTTCCTTTTCAGCTCTGATACCCTTTTCTTTTTTTGAGGTGTGGCAACTAGAACAATATAGTGTACTAGGAAAAAGGCCCGTTGTGGAAATAAATACAATGATCTCTAGAAAGAGGCTCTGGGCAGATGCCCCGGCCTTGGACACTCAGTGTCAATTTGCTGTGGCAACCTCAGCAGGGTATAATGACACTGAGTCCACCATTTTCTCCAGAAGAACTGAACTCTGCTACCTAAACAACAGTTGTAATTTTGAGTGATCTCCAGCCCTCACCTGGAGATTGGCAACAATGGTTCCCCAGAAAGGAATGGTTGGTTTGGAGGGTGGAGTCTATGGCTTTGTACCTGTCCAAGGTCCCACGCCTCCTGAAAACTCACCCTCTCCAGGCTCCATCCCTCACATCTCCAGGAATTTCCCACCTGGAATGGCAACCCTATCTCCTTCCCAGCCAATCATCAACCTACCTTTATTTCCCTGTCACTGTTCAGCTTTCCACCCCCGACACACACCTGCAGCCTCTCCCGTGCTCTGAAGCCCTTACTGCTACGTCACATTGGCTGTCATACGGGGACCACCTCAGCAACATATAAGGATACAGAGCCCACCATTTTCTCCAGAGGAACTGATCTCTGCCATCTGGAAAGCAGTTGTAATTCTGAGTGATCTCAAGCCCTCACCTGGAGATTGGACACATTTTACCTCAGAAGAGCAAACTGTTTAGAATGTTAGAGGCAAAAGCCAATCAAGTCACATATGCAAGCGACCTCTGTATTCCGAGGCAAAGGCCAATGAGGCTGCATATGCAAATAACCTCTGTGTTCTGACTGGCTATTGGGGGGGGGGAGGAACAGCAAATGTTTAGAATGTTGGAGGTAAGACTCAAGCAATGGAGCCAGTGGATAGGGACAGATTCTAAGTGACACACCAGGGCGCCAACCAATTCCGGAGCGTGTGGAATGTTCTAGAGAAGTGCCACCACCATTCGGCTTTTATATATAAGGGAGATTCCAAACCTAAGTACACTATAGATTTATATACAAAAATTTGATTGTATTTCTCTGTTATATCTAAAATGCTAGTTGCTGTGTCATCAAGGCAAAGGGGACAGAATAGTCCCAGTGGACCAGAAAATACGAGTCCCATGTATTGGAGGACTGTTCAGCAACAGCCTGGAAAGCTGTACCAGTTGGCAAGATGATTTGACTTCCGTCTGTGCTGAACTCTGCCGGACTTGGCATTGTAACCTACCCTGCATCCCCGTCTATGAGGACCAGAGGTCTTGCTGAACTTACTGTACTGCTGGAAAAGGGGTTTGTCGCACTAGGATTTTGGCAAGACTTGTACAGCCCTTGCTAAGCAACAAAAGGTGTCCCAGACCCTGTAGACCTAACATTTGCTTATATGCAGTGTGTATTATAAGCTGTTTCTCAGCATGGAAGAACCATGAGTCATTTGGCCATTTTAGATACTTTTCACAGATGAGGTCAATCTTTGTTGGTTCTTTCTAAGCATTTTTTTAACTAATAAGACTGCCATGCAAAATCTTATTAGAGAGAGGAGCTATGTTGGTTTATTGGAACAAAAACAACCAAAAGGTTAATGGTTTTATGGGGGTATTAGTTTTTGTGGACTATCCTTGTATCTGAAGATGTAGGCTCTAGTCCACAAAAGCTAATGCTACAATAAATCTGCCTGTTAAGCACCATGAAGCTCTGTTGTTCTGTCTGTAGTTTCTTCAGACTCTGTTAAGAGGTCAACAGTAGGTTTTGCTAGAATTAATTTCTGTTGCAAAGTAGAATGAGAGCCACTTTAAGTGTGATCTACAAACCCTGCATACTGTTTTAAAAAGCTCAGTTCATAGGTTATGGCAGTGATGTGGAAACTGCTTCCCTGTGGTTTTCCCATTAGATGGGTTCAGCATGGCAGAACCCTGTGGCAGAGTGAGCCTGCTCTGGCTCCCTCCCCACTTGAATGTCTTTCTCTCTCTCTCATACTAGATTGGCGATTAGCATACCTAAACCTAACTGATGAACTGGCCTTCTTGTACAGCTAGCCATATTTAATGGGGATTTTTCATATGTGCCCGCCTTTTTTAAAAGGATGATATTGCAAGCAGCTGTTCTGGTCTACAGCAAAATCTGACAGCAAATCTCCAGCCATATATTTTATTAAAGGCAATTCAAGTAGCAAAGTAGCATAGCAATTTGCAAATTTCCAGGTTTTCCAAAACACTTCATCTGAATAGATGTTGAATAAAGGGGGGGGGGGAACATGATGCAGGCCATGACCTCAAACCGGCAAGGCCGCACTTTTGTGTAGAATGCTAGACAGGTCTGAATAGACGCAGTGGTAATGGGTGGAGTTTGTACTGGGTTACAGAAGGTGTTTGCCTCCAGTCACAAATATAAAAACTAATAGTTGATTGAATGTATCTCTGCCACCAAACAGAAACCTCAGGGCCCTTGAAAGACTGAGAGCAGAGGAAAAATATAGGGTAGTTGTCATATTTACAATTAATTTTGATTGATGCGGAAGATAAGAGTCAATGGAAGCCAAATTGGGAAATATAACCTATTGGCTTTGGAGAACAAAAAGCCCCATAAGCCCAGTCCTTTCCCAGGTCATTGCCCCCAGGTGAAGGATCCCTCTCTGTCAGTTAAATGCAGGTGTTTTCCAGACAAAGCTAAAGCTAGCCACTTTGGTACAAAGCAAAAGGTCAAAACAAAAGCCATGTGATACCTTTTGAAAGGTTTGGATGGGCTCGTGTCTGAACTGACCCACTGTCAGATCATACCTGAAACAGTGTAATGCTAGCTCTGGGATGGATCAGAAGATGGCTGCAACAGCAATGCTGTCTACAGCCCTGTGGGTGGTTTCTTGCATGTTCACGCTAGTCATGTGTGCTGCTTCTGGAATAGGGGCTGAGTTTTCTTGCTTTAACATGTGAGGTGTTTACCAGTGTAATAAGCCACGAGTCAGAGGAAATGGAGAGTTCCTCTGTTTTGAGGAAAAGGCAAGCTTATGCCTCAGAAGCATTCAAAATACGGGCTGAGCATATACCAGATAAGCTAATGGTATGACGTGGCGACTCAGAAGTTCAAATTTACTTGGTGTGGACATCCACTTGAAAAAAGACAGCATTCACAAATCATTAAAACTGCAGGCGCTATACGTTGGGCAGCACTGCTCTCAGCATATGTCTCTTGATGGTGCCTGTATGCGCTCAGGGTTCTGTGTATTTTTATATCATAAGCAGAGCTGTGTATTGTCCTTTGAAAACAATAAACAAGGCAAAATGTGGCACTTTCTAGCTTGTACTGGCCCTGGCACACATGCCCTTTCTAGTCTCTGTTTTGGATTCCTAAAATCCAAGGCTAAGAGTGCTTCTGTGATGTGGAAAACCACCACCACCACCACCACCTTCCTTGTCATTCTCTTAGCTAGGCTTCCTTGTGACTGCATGCTGCCCCCCTCACCATAATCACGTGATGACCATTCTGTTCTGTTTGGTTAACAATTGTGCAAACTCCCTGGGTGACTGTGTTTTGAGATCCCTTCCCCCTCCTCCCAAATCCCCTGCTGAATATTGTGCCATCAGTCCAGCAGTGGGAAGCAGCAGCCTGATCACACAAGCCGGTGAGTCAGCATTTCCCTCTTGCTTGATAAGAGCAGCCTGGTGTACAGCTCTTTTGGAGTGGGTTGGCTAGTCTTGGGCTAGCAGGGGTGCCATCTACAGAGCCTGCAGATTTTGGGATATATGTTCATCTTCATTCCCTCTAGGGTGGAATCTAGTTCCTAACAAGGTGACCTTTTTGTCAGTTTCATGTGATTAATGTTTCAGGTTTGCAGGTAAACACTTGCTCAGTTGCTTTTAGGAAAACAGGAGAATCTTTAATACTTCAAAAGCAAACAAAGAGCTGATGACTCCTTAGATAAGAGGGGGAGAAGTTGATTGGAGATGCTCACAGAGCACATGCTTTACATGCAGAAGGTCCTGGATTCAATTCCTAGCTTCTTGCATTAAAAGGATCTTGGCTGGAGAGATGGGAAAGTCCTCTGCTGAGAGTCTGGAGAGCCAGTAGGCTAGGTGGAGTTGCAGCAAGGCCTGAGTTGGTGCATGGCAGCTGCATGTCATGACACCAAGAAATCCTCCCCTCTAAGGCAGTCGTCTGTCACAGTTCTCTCACTGGAAGGCTCTGCAGAGCTGCTTGCCTCCCTTCTGGGGCCTAAAGTATCTTTGGGTATGTCCTTGGCACTAATGCTGTTCCACGGAGACCCAACCTGCTGCCCACTGGTTTTGGGGCTTCTGGTCATCTGCTGAAAGGACACCATCACATGATGATGCCGTTGGAGCACAGATTTGAGGTTGTTTGAAAAGAGTAGAGGAGAGAGGGAACAAAGCTGTGGATATTATGGTTCAAATGTCTTCTTTTAAGGCGCTTTTTGTCCCTTGCTAGAGGTAAGAAAAGATAAAGAGGGGATGAGCAGTAGATGTTCAGGCTAATGAGGGTGCAGACCCTGAACTTTTATCTTTTCTGTAATGCACCTGGTAACACCAATTTTGGGCAGGCGTTTACCTCATTGCAGTACATGCAACTTTGGAGGTCATGCCCTACCTTGATGCATACGAGCACTTTCTCTGGGGAGGGTAATGAAACATTTGCCATGTGTGTATTGAGGTGGGACTTAAATTCAACTGCAGAGGGGGGACAGAGGTCATTCCTGCCTTGAATCTGCTTAGGTGGAAGTGGGTTCTTGAACCTCAGGGAGACAGAACAGTCCTGAAATACTGTGACCCTTGAGTCATCCTTGACCTGGCCTGAATTCAGTCCGAAAACCTCTCAGCAAAGGGCTGCAGATCCCGTTACCAGTCGTCTTGGCTATAATTATCTCTGACATACGGAGGTTGGAGGGTTGCCGTTTTGTCGCTTTCTTTCCATGCTACCTTCAGGCAAGTCATGTTAATGAAGGCTGTCCAAGACTTGTTGCCTGCATGGTAGGTGCCACAGGGCTGGTGCCAAAAATGGTATCCTCGTGGATATTCCCCTTCTGTCTAACACTCTCTGTGCGAGGGATCCCAATGCCTGGGGAGTCTCCATGCCCTCCAGCACCAGCAGCAGCCAGGAACAAAAATTGTGGGCTAGGCTATACATGGCAACTTGTGAGGCAAGCTCTGCGTCCATTTGTTTATGTAGGAGATTTTTATTCCGCCTTTCCAGAGTCCTGCTTGAGGCAGCTTATGACAAAATGATGAATTGTCAATACCGAAACAACAACGAGCCATTAAAGCTAGCCCTCAGTTGAGCGTTCCCTCACGCAGCTCTTTTGTTCTTACAGTTCGCTGTGTTGATGTGGGTGTTCACCTATGTTGGTGCCTTGTTCAATGGGCTGACATTAATGATACTGGGTAAGTTCTTTTCTGTTTTCCTCAAGCCAAATCCTTTACAATCTTAAAAGTTGTACAGACGCAATTAAGGGCAAGCTCTTTTTAAGGGTTCTTTTACAAAGCCAGCATTATGTTGAAGCCTTTGAGCTGATAAACAAATGCAGTGAAAGACTGTAGGAATTAGGAAGAAAAGTCCAAAAAATTCAGTGTGTTAAAAAAACTATATTGCTGTGCTGGGGGAAATATGAAAACAAAAGGGACAGAAAAAAGATGGAAGACATACGGCCTCTTGCTCTCAATTTAAACAAAGGGTAGTATATCAGCCGTTCTGGAGCTGTTTGTTGTCATGAATGCTGGATTGGTGTTCTTACAGGGTTGTATGATACAGATGGTGGCCCACTGCACAGGAAGGCTTGACTCATGCAGTGCCCCTTTCGATTTAGGCTCACCGGTTTGTCTGGCTACTGTAGCGGTTTCTGTAATTTATTTAGGACATTTCTATCCCTCCTTTCTCCCTAATGTGGACCCAAAGTGGCTTACAAAAACAAACAAACAACAAAACGCCACTTTAGTTTAATAGAGAGCCAGTTTGGTGTAGTGGTTAAGTGTGCAAACTCTAATCTGGGAGAACCGGGTTTGATTCCCCACTCCTCCACTTGCAGCTGCTGGATGACCTTGGGCAAGCCATAGTTCTGTCAGAGCTGTTCTTTCAAGGACAGTTCTGAAAAGAGCTCTCTCAGCCCCACCTACCTTACAGGATGTCTGTTGTGGGGAGGGGAAGGGAAAGGAGTTTGTAAGCCGCTCTGGGACTCCGAGTGAAGGGCGGGATATAAATCCAATCTCTTCTTCTTCTTAGATGGTTAAGAACACATAAGGTACACTAAACATCCTGGTCTGCACTGGGATCCACAGAGGGGGTCCATCAAGGCCACAGGCTGAGGCCAAGAACCATTTGGGTTGCCCAGAAGCCAGAGCTAGCTTTGGCTTGCTCCACGCCTTTAAGAACCTGCAGCAGGAGGGCAACACAAGCCCAGCCTGGATCTTAAACAGCTGGCAAACAGCACCATAAAATTCTCCCCCCCAACTTTATTTATAAAAAATGTATAGAACAAAACAGGGGGTCACATTAATAAAATATTATTACCTGTGATTGTGTTAATTTCCCCTCCTTGTGACTTGAACTGCTACCTCTGTGGCTATTGTGTACCTGGATACACTGTGCAGGGACTCTGCTGTTGTGTAACATTCACGTATGCAGGCATCTTTCTTGATATGGGTCATAAAAACTAGTATTAGATCTTTCAAGGTCTCTGAATATCTGTAGATTGAAATCTGGTGTGTTTCCCTCCCTATCTAGCTGTGATTTCGCTCTTCAGTATTCCAGTTATTTATGAAAAGCACCAGGTGAGTATGTAGGGTAACTTTATCACTAGTATTCTGGCAAAAATTGGGTGTAATTGGTTCCAATAGTAAGAAAAAACATGAATAATGGGCTTGGATCCATCAGTAATTTCCACAGATGGAAGGAATTTTGATCTGCTGAGTGTGATTTCTTTGTCTCCTCCTCCTCGCTGCAGCCCAAAATGCCCCTGATGCTTCTCCTGAGGGACCAGGAAACACGCAGGAGCAGCATGAGGGGGGAGTTGGAGATCTGCAGCAGCCATGGAGAATTAGTGAAAATAATATGTCCTCCCATCTGTGGAAGTCCTCTATTGAATCCAAGTCAATCTTTCTTCCTGTTCTACCGTTCTGCTTAGCTATTGCTCTTGGGGGTTTCAGATTCTGATCAGGACTATAAGACCTTAGGCTCCTGTGGTAGCCTTTGTACCTGCCTCTCCAAATTAACTTCTTTAGCGACGCTGCAAAGTGTTGCAGCACAGTGGACAGTTTCAGATAATGCACTAGCAAACCTGCAAAGCTGCTAATTGTACAGGAAGTACTGCTAGAACTACTGAGGAAACCTCCATATTCAGAGGCACGAATCCTCTGTATCCTAGAGCCAGGAGGCAACATCAGGGGGAAGGCCTCGGCCTGTGTGCCCTGTTGTTGGCCATCCAGAGGAACTGTGTGAATTATGGTGCTGGACTAGATGGACTATTGGTCTGATCCAGCAGGGCTCTTCTTATGTTCTTATGTGGTAGGTCTGCCATCTCTCCCCCAGTTTTTGTTAAAACTATAATTGGCAGCAACTTCAACTTTAGCCTACGTTTTTCTTCCAGTGACTGTACAAGAAAGCTCAACAGTCACAAGATCATGAATGTAAATAATTTTGTACAAAACACTGAAAATTAACTTTAAAAACTTTTATAGCATCAGTACAGTATAGTACACTAAACTCAGATTTGTGACACAAATATGTGCCCCCTGCTAGGCTGATGGAAGACTGTTGAGCGTTCTACCCTATCTCAAGCCCCTCCCTTCTCCATGGAGAGATCTGGTATTAATGCTTGGGGATACTAATAGGGGAGGAAGCATTTAATTTTAGAGAACCAAATTCTCTCTGACATATAGCCATTGTTCTCTTGTGCAATGCAGCATGAAATATTCTGTTTGGACATAAACCCCTGTCTTTGCAGCATCACCTAGTTATTAAAATGCATTACAACTGGGGTATAACTTTTGATACATGCCAACATTTAACTATAACTTTAAATCTGAATATTCATTTCTTTTCAGGTTCAAATTGACCATTATCTGGGACTTGTGAACAAGAATGTCAAAGATGCTGTGACAAAGTGAGTATGATATCCTGCGGTGGCTCAAGTGGTTAAGACGCTGAACTGCAGGCTGTGGAAGGTCGGTAGTTCAGCAGTTCGAGACCCGAGACCCGAGTGATGGAGTGAGCGCCTGTCTCTAGTTCCAGCTCCTGCCAACCTAGCAGTTCGAAAGCAAGAAATTGCAAGTAGATAAATAGGTACCACTTCAGTGGGAAGGTAACAGCGTTCCGTGCGCCTTGTTGTTTAGTCATGCTGGCCGCATGACCACGGAAATGTCTTCGGACAACGCTGGCTCTTCGGCTTTGAAACGGAGATGAGCACCGCAACCTTAGAGTCGGATTCGACTGGCTTTCGAGCAAGGGAACCTTTACCTTAATGTAAGATAATATAACATAAATAACTACCTTAGCGAAAGAGCACTGGCTCAAGGAAAGAAACACCTTTCTTACCAGTGCAGTGAAGGTATCTGATGAAAAGGACAGTTTTGGTAGAAACAAATTGAAATTTTTTGCAGAATTAGCTTGGAATGTAGCAAATATTTGGAATCATGGATCAGTTGCTCTGTATAAAGTAATTTGAAGGTAGTATGAAGTATAATTGGAGAGGGTGATACAGAGATGGCCAAATTCATTAAGGTAAAAACAGCACCTGCCGCTCAAGTCTTCTGTAGTTGCCGAAAGTCCAGATTTACCGATAAAAGATGAAGGTCTTGAATTACTATGATACTGACAACCGAGGTGACTTTAGACCTGGTGGACTAATGTTTTCCCAGACTTGCTTCTGGAGGGTTTGAGGTAGCTTTGAAGAAGTAGTAGTAGTAGTAGTAGTGGTTATAATGCTGGTCTCGGAAGTAGGAAATCCAGGTTCAGATCTCCTCTCTACCGTAAAGCTTGCCTCGCGACCTTGGGTCAGTCACTCTGTCTCAGCCTAACTTACCTCACAGGGTTGTGAGGAGGAGAGTGATGGGAGTCTCCTGATCTCCTTGAAGGGTCGGCAGGAAAAGTGTACCAAATAAGTATGTACCATCTCCCTTGCCTATCAAACTTGTGCACTTCACCCATCAGGAAGTGCAAGCAAAGGACATGCAAATTACTGGTTCCCTTGTAACTATGGATGGGCGTGGGGCGTGCTGGCTGCTGTATCTGAGGCCAGGAAGGAACAGTGCCTCTAAACCGAACAGACAACTGTGGCCTGTCCCCTGGATCTGTGTGCATTTTCACTTTTATTTTACTGTGGCCTGGATCTGCAAGCACTTTCCGGCAGGGATGTTTCCTTGCTTTGCCCTTCTTCTTTTTTTTCCTTTTCCTTTTTTGCTTTGCCCTTCTGATTTGCTCTTGATTGGTCTCTGGAAGCTGGTGGGCATTGGACAGGATGACCATTGCCCCTCCCAACTCTTCCTGTTCTAATAGGTAGTAAATTATTTCTTGCACATCTTTCTGTACATTAAAATAGTTTATCTCATTGTCATTTACAGGATCCAAGATAAAATCCCTGGACTGAAGCGCAAAACTGAATGAAAAGCCTGAAGCAACTTTTAATTAAATAGGAGTTCATCTTTTAAGCGGGGCGGGAGACGTTATTCATTTGGTTTATGTGGGGAGGGTCAGGGAATAGTGACACCTTGACATTGCAGTGCAGTTTCACAGATCTTTATTTTTTAGCGGACGCAGTGTTTCAAGGAAAGAAAAATAACCTGTTCTTGACTGCCATGTGTGTTCATCATAAGTATTGTAAGCTGCTATGTATGGATTTCAACCTAATCCTCTTTGCATCTCCCATGTGCAGCACTGGTTAACATAACAGTTTGGAGAGCTGTACATTTTATGCTTTGGCCGAGGTAGTTTTGCCGCGTTTTGAGAGATCCTGATGCAGGTGGAGTGCAGGGAGGACACTTCCCGTTTTGCACAGTCTCTGGTCTGTGTAGATTGTTGAGTGCAGATTTTCTAAAACGAGCTGTTTAGAAGAATATGCCATTGAAGCAAGCTTCAGAAGTCTTGCCCTTTTGGTATCGAGTGTAGCTGTATTGTGCTTTTTAATTTTACTGTTTTATCAATTGCCAATATAAAAAATTATATATATATATATAGTGTTTCACAGCAGCTTAGGATGTCCAGCTCCTCCACAGTGCTTGAAATATCAAGAAAACGGAACTTTTTTTTTTTTTAGCTCTATGGTATGTAAAGCTTAAATCTTCAGAAAACACTAGCACCTATTAAATAAATAGAAAAACCTCTCTGCACATTACAACACAACTTCTGCCATAACCTTTGCTGCACAAACTTCCTTTAGTCTATTTTGAGTAAACAAGTTTACAGTCTCTCTTAAACTCTGAATCTGTGGAAGGAATTTTTGAAGGTGTGATCCCAAGATCCTTGCAGGTAGAGCAAGGACTACCTAGCATGCTTGTTCTCCACTGTGCTAGGGATCCTCAGCGGCTGTGCATGGATCAGCGGGTTATGCCCCGATGCTGCAAAGGTTGTTTGGAAATTTCGAACATTGTTAATGCAAGAAATTACAAATGAAAATGTATACACTTGCAGTTTAAGCTGTATTGAACTAAGTCTGTGGAATGCATTGTGAAATGTAAAAACAAAACAACTCAAGTATCAATAAAGCGTATAGACTTAAAAGGATCTTGTGGGTCTAGGAAATGTGTGTAGTGCATATTCCTCATTTGACTCTGAATCGTCTCCATTGAACAGTACTGTGAGAGTGACATCGAGTCACAGGAAGGCAGGTTCATATATGGAGGTCATTAATATTGCTAATATAGCATTGTCTTATTACTTGCTTTGGTTTGTTTAGATATGGAGTGAATCCTAGGACTCCATGTCTGGATCATGGCGCAGTGTGTGCTATGACGCTTGGAAATGTGTTATCTGCCAGTTTGAGGTACCAGCCATACTATTGGATGCAGCCAGTTATCCTCAAGGTGAGAGGAAAGCAATGATTAGCTAATGTTCTTATGCTCGACTTCAGGCTTTCTAGGTGGAAGCTGCATGTTGCCATGAGCAGCAAGCAGCATCATCTCATCCCCTTCCATAGATGGCTACAAAAAGCATGGAAGGACCTAATCATGGTTGAGATTTCCCCACCCCTGCAAACAGCAGTCAATTAAATGGGGGTTGTGTGTGTGGACTAACTGCAGTGACATTTCACTCTGAAGGCAAGCTGCCTGACTCCTGCTTTTGCTGAATATATGGCTTAATTTGCCCATTGATTGATATATTGTGAGAAGCTCATAGCCGAAAGTGGGTAGTTGTGGTGGCATCCATTACCAGCCCCATCAAAAGCCGCTCATTTTCCATAATGCAATTATGACTCCCTGGGGGTGATACAGCCACTCAGGGTGCAAGTTTTCTGAGCTCCCTGCCTTTGACGAACAACACATGCTGCTTTTCTACATTGTCAAGATTCATGACTGACTAAATTCTGATTAAGCTGAACAAAATATTGACTCCATTCTCTTCAAAAGGGTTTGAAAGTGGGAACCTTTTGTGATCTGAGAAATGTACCCAATGAAAAACTGACACCTGGCTCTTCTCAAATCATAAATCTTTACTTGATCATTTGAAAAATAAACTCATGCGTTACTATTTTAATTTACATTATAATACAGCATCATGTCCAAGCATAATGTACCTAAAATCAAACCATATAAACAAATACAAATCTTTTTGATGCATACTATTGCTCTTAAATATTTTTGCACATTATCACCAAGTAGCAATTCATTCTGTCACAGATTTTTTTTTAAATTTTAAGATACAATCAATATGAAAGGCCAACATTACAACATAGGCAAACAAGGTGACCACCTGACATCACCAGCTTTGATATGGTTACATCTAATACAGGAAACCTTCCTTATGAACAGGATGGGAGTAAAACTGCATAGGGACTTCTGTGTCTAAAATATCTATAGTGTAAGGCATTAATATATTCCATTGATTAAATAAGACTCAACAAATGATAGTCCATTGAGCTTAATGAAGCACTTTTGTGTTTATACATTGAATTTTCTTTTCTTTCTCATGAACCTGGAGTTGAGTTGTTAAGCTCTTCCAGCAGCAAGGTAGTTGGCACTTTCAATCGTGCTCCCCCATTTATTTTATGGGGAGGAGTGTCTGTTTTGCAGAATATTGCTTGCAGTGGAGGCTCCAGTGGCACCTTTTGAGCAGCTGCTGATAATTCTTGCCTACCCAACGACTAGGGTGTAAGAAATGCCCTTCCTTCAGTAATTATCTAAGCAGTAATTCTCCCTTGAACATGGCCAGGGGCAATGAATATTTTTTTCTTTCCCCCCATCTCAAACTCCAACTTCACCTATTAATAACTGAACCTAGGCCCTTCTATGAATAAATGGCACATTTCACCATTGCCCCTACAAGTTTTATCTTGAGAAGGAGCAGAGTTTCCACAGTTATTGGTCATCTGCCACTAGGGAGCCCGTGAATGGCTGCCGCATTGTCTGCCACTGAACTCTGGAAAGGAAGAATGCCTTTGAAACACCTCCTGCGTGAAAGATGGAGGAGGGCTGGCTTTCCTTAGAGGAGTTCAAAGCAAATCTTTGCAGCTACTGGCCTAATCAGGAAATGTGGAAGAGCAATGTTCTGAGTGGGAAAAGATGGTTGAGGATAGCTTGTGTGCAGGTTCTTCGTTTTCTTCCCCTTTCCCCTTGTGGTTCCTTCAAGACTACCTCCCACGTACACACTGCTTGGTAACTTTGCAGTATTGGGGTCTTTCATCCCAGCCCTCCTTCCTTTGGTAGAGGAACCAGACAAGGTTCAGTTGAAGTATCAAGACACAAGCAAGAGTGTGAGTGAATGATGCATCATGAAAAGATGACAGCCCTCCTCAGTTGTGTAAGTTGTAGCACCGTGAGTAGAAAGCAGACATTGGCAGGAGGCTGAGTTGTAACCTGCGGGACTTGAAAAAGCTTTCAAAAGGCACTTTATAGAAAACTGGCAAACAAAATTATTTCTAAACCTCTAAATATTAAAAAAGAATGGTATTGTTGAAGTATAAAACCAGCCATGGCCCAGAGCTTTCTTTACCAACAATCCTTTTTCTTGTAAGGTTTTGGAATGGCTGGAGCTGCGGTGGCTCAAGTGGTTAAGACGCTGAACTGCAGGCTGTGGAAGGTCAGTAGTTCAGCAGTTCAAGACCCGAGTTGCCACATGACGGAGTGAGCTCCCATCTCTAGTTCCAGCTCCTGCCAACCTAGCAGTTCGAAAGCAAGAAATTGCAAGTAGATAAATAGGTACCACTTCGGTGGGAAGGTAACAGCGTTCCGTGCCCCTTGGTGTTTAGTCATGCCGGCCACATGACCACGGAAATGTCTTCAGACAGCACTGGCTCTTCGGCTTTGAAACGGAGATGAGCACCGCAACCCTAGAGTCGGATTCGACTGGCTTTCGAGCAAGGGAACCTTTACCTTTACCTTTTTTTGAATGGCTGGCTTTAAAAACAATGTACTTGAGCAAGTGGTGTGAAAATGGGAATTGTTTGAATTCAACTGAAGGGGTTCTTCAGAGTTTCTTCAGTGGGTAAAGCACTGTAAATATGTGTATAAATGAGAGGTTTAGCGTTAGCTGAACTGGACCATCTCTTCAGCTAAGAAGTGGGTCGATTCTGTTTGCTTCCTTCTCGGTGACGGCACAGTTGAGGTTCCTTGTAGCATCCACCATAACCACATGTAGGTTTCATAAAACCACAATCCAGGCACCATTTGATAACAGCCAGCTGCTGAGGTCTTGGGAGGCATGGCTAATGTCCACTGTTTGGCACTCACATGGTGGTGGTATCACGTGTGGCACTGGGAAGAATTAATATTCAAAGACATCGCCATACAAAGACACTGGAGGAGGAGACAGTAAGAGAGACCAGACGTCGGTAACAGCTAGCTGGCTATGCAGTGTGGCTAAAGACAGTGTTGTCGACATCTCAGCTGGCAACATGTGTCTGTCTGTTCGTTTTCACTCCCACACTGTTTACCCAGGGCTGCTCCTTTCTGTGGATTCTTATCTCCCACACTAAGTGGCTGAGCAAAATACTGAGGGAGGCAGCTGTCAACTGGCAATGTGGGTGGCTAGTGGTGGGGAAAGAACAGGGATTCTCGGGGAGGAGGCCAGCTTGTGCCAGGGAGGGAGTCATCCGGGATCCCTAAGGGAACTAGATGGTCAGAAAATGGGCCCAAAGAGCCTGCCTTTTGACAAAACGGGGGGGGGGGATGCCCAGGATGATGCAGCTGCAAATTCCAGACCCACAGCCTGGACAAAGCGTGAGAGGAGGAAGAAAGAACGAATCGCAGTACATCCAGACGGACAAGCCCAAGTGGCAGGGACTGCACTGTATATTAGGGCAGAGAGGACTAATGGGTCAAATTCTGAGGGGTTTAGGGGACCCTAGAACAGCAAATCATTTCTTCCTACTGTTATATGAGCCGGTCACAAAATCCACCATTAAGGAGAAGAAGTTGGATTTATACCCTGCCCTTCCCTCAGAGTGGCTTACAATAGCCTTCCTTTCCTCTCCCCACAACAGACACCCTGTGAGGTAGGTGGGGCTGAGAGAGCTCTGAGAGAACTGCTCTTGACAGAACAGCTCTGAGAGAACTGCGACTGACCCAAGGTCACTCAGCTGGCTGCAAGTGGAGGAGTGGTTAATTAAACCCAGTTCTCCAGATTAGAGTCCACCACGCTTAACCACGGCACCAAACTGGAGGGAAGGGATTTTTTCTGGCTTTCTTTTCCCCAGTTTGTGCTCAGCCCTCATGACAATCCAACATGCAGACACAAACTGAGATTTGGGAGCTAATCTTGGCTGGAAAATCGGGGTAGCAATATGTAAATGAAAATGAAGCAGTCTATTCTGGCTCTGCACCATCTGAAGCAAGCATGCTGCTGTTTCACAAGCAATTCATTTGGTCTGCATTTTGGGCTGCAAAAGTAGGTTCTGCAACTATGACTTTTCCATTTATTTATTTCTGGCCTAAAAAGGAAAAATTCTCTACCAACCACCTTCAAACACCTGCTTTGCAACTCCATTTCCATAGACTCCCCTTGATTTCTCCTCTCCCCCTGAAGATGCCTTGGCCATTGAATCTACCTAGCAGGTATATAGTTGGCTATATAGCTGCTGACTGGTATGGTCCTGATACAGGCAGTGATAGCTGTGTGGCAATTGTTCTGTTTTTCTGTATCAAAACAGATGCAATAAAGACTATAAACTGCTGATCCTACTTGCAGATGGAGATAAACGGATAACACTACAATTGGCGAAGTTTGTGGCCTTGGTTATAAAGATACAGTCAAAATTCTCTGATGCTAGTTTGGTCAATGAATAGTTCACTAGCTTTACGCTTGGTTACTCATAACAGGAATAGAATAAACTATTGTTAAATCTGGTTGTTTCAGCTATCAAGTTGCATTTTAACCATTTATCATGTATATAAATCTTCTGTCATGATCTGAGCTGTGCCACCAGAGGCCTACTAGGCCCAGGGAGCCTGGCTAGCAGTAGGTGAGGCTGGGCCTACAACTTCCAGGAGCCCCTGAGAGGTTTTGGAGCCAAAATTGACCAATAGGAAAAGAGGAGGGCTTGGAATAAAAGATCTGGAGCAGCAGGAAAAGCTGTTTTTTCCCTCAGAGAGCAGAGCCAGAAGGAAGGCTGCTGCAGGGAAGTAACCCTCATCCTGAGGGAAGGGTGAGTAGTCTAAGGCCAATACAGATAGTGAGCTAGGGGCAGTATATTTAGACAGGGCATTTGATTTCTTTTCACCCACTTACTGTTATTATTCTGCACCTTGTTGTTTGACCTCCTATAAAGTAAACTATTTTCATTGTTCACTCTGCCTGATCCTCACGCCTATTATTCGGCCAACAGGGAGGTCTGAAGGTCTTGGGAGGGTGCTCTGGGCCTTCTCAAGGGATCCTAAATCCAGAGTGGTGGCAGCGTCAGGTGACACCCCGCCTGAGCCGTAACAGTTTGTAAACCTGTGAGTATTGCAAGAAAAGTCCCTAACAGTCTGTTTCATGAACTTGAAACTTCTTAAATCTTTGCAAATGTTAGAACAACAAAGTTGGACTGATTCTTACTTTGGATGAAGGAGTTTTATCTCCTTACCGACCATCTTCTAAATCAGCCTTGGGGATAATCGGCTATTTTACATAGTACTTACTAAACTGCGAGCAATAAAGAGCTAGTGGTAGTAGTCATTTGTGAATGCTTCAAACATTTTACCCAAATCATCAGTTCTCAACCAACTGCTTCAGTACAATCTCCATTGCTGGCATTAAAAGAACCAATGTGTCTCCAACTGATTGTGCTTGGCATAAGCTTTTCAGCAGGTGTTGTCTATTGGAGGTGATTGGACCTGTGGTGACAATATTTCACTGCTACCAAAAAAAAAAAACCCTTCAGAATTGAAGAAGAAATGCTGCTCTCATTCCATCTTTATTGTGTGAACCTGTTACCTGGCACCTATTTTTGCTAAGCAGAGGATTGACCAGCCTATTCACAGACTTTCTGCAAGTCTAACAGATGGCACTAATGTAGGAAGCCTATTGACAATGCTTGCAATCAACATTACATGCAGGGAGGGAAGACTCCCCAGATAACGAGGTCTAAATGGTCACACATGCTGGAAATACATAACTATGACAATATTTTTATGAGCTGGTTTGGGTGTAAACAAAATGAGCTTGAAAATAGTCATTTCAAGAGAAAACACAAATAACTTACATGCTTGGATTTTAGGAGAACGCCAGAGCTTCTATTCATATCCCAGGGAACTATGGAACATGGAGAAATGAATACATTAAAATATGCTGAAGACTGGTAGAAATTTTATAAAACTAAGTTTGCAGTATCCTAATATTTGTTCATGACTTTTGTTAATTATCTCCAACGTAATGTATGTTACTGAAGTGGAATGTTTACTTCTTTGTCTTTTAAAAGTAAAAAACCTGTTTATTTAACTTCAGGCTTTTATTTTTTAATGAAATGTTTATGACCATTAATGGCTTGAGAGACTTACTGATTAAGGAAACCCTTGACTAGTGAATCTCTAAATATGTACAAAAATCTTTTTGTTAAATTAATTCTTCCATTGAAGTCAACCTTAGTTTGAACACAAAGAGTAAGACATAAAAAGAAGAGAATACTTGATATTTAACATGCAATGCAATCCTAAGACTACTTCATTTATACTCCACTTTTCTCTCCAGTAGTGTTAAATACTGGGTTCTGGGCACATTGTAGTGATCAGCTCTAGTTTATTTAGTGATTTCAGGAACACAACAAGGACACCCAGCAAGGTTTGAGCCCTGCTTATAAAGCATGCAAACACCACACCCCACATACACCCACTCCCAAGGATAGGCTATTTACATTACACTACTTATCTATTGGTCTACTCCAGGATCCTGGCAAGCTATTGTTCTAGAGTAACAAGCTCAACCAATTCCTGGTACACCCAGACGGCCGACTCAGACTCAATACATAACAAATAGTGACTCATAGTGGCTCACAACATTCTCCCTTTGTCCATTTTATTCTCACAACAATCCTGAAAGGTAAATTAATGATTGTATATGACTTGGCCAAGGTCACGCAGAGTAGGAATTTGAACCTGGGTCTCAAAGACCCTAGTCCAAAACTCTAGTACAATTCTAAACAGACCTGCTTAGGATTGTTCTGTTAAGGACAGATGGTCAATACGTACATAGTTTTACCTATGACGGAGGCAAAGTGAAAACATGGCAGCCTGATTAGTCTGCCTACTTGCTATCCTCTGATGCCTACTTGCTAGCCTCTATTAACCATTTGGATTTTTATTTAAATATATATATCTCCTGCCTCTCAACTAATAGTTTCAGAGCCTGCTTCTTTATAAAACCAGTGATCCAAACTGTAATTCAGTATGGACAATACATATATCATACAAACACATATACAAAACACATAACAAAAATCAGTCCAAAGCATTAGCAAATAAGAAGGGCTTAACCTGATGTTTAAAGCTACAAAAGTAGATCAGGGGAGGGAATTCCACAGTTGAGGTGCCAAACAAGAGAGGCTGTGTCCCTCACTGCACATGAATACGGCATACATGCATACCACCCAATGTGTGGAAGATCATGTTGTGGATAAAATCTAGAAATCAATCATGCAATCAGAGCTTGCATGAATTAGACTGATCATCTTATTATGATGATTAGACTGATCATCTGTATTATGATAGGGGTGATAGCTTTGCAAAGGATTTTTTAATTAACCCCCCCAAATTTTTATTCCACCCATCCTTCAAGTTGCTCAGGGAAGTATACATGATTCTCCCCTTATTTTCCATTTTCTCTTCACAAGAATCCTGTGGGGTAAGTTAGGCAGAGTACAAATTTGAATCCAGGGAGTGGACTAGCACACTAACATTTAATCACTCAGGCTGTGGTCAGATGTGCCATTTGGTGTGGTCAGGAAGCGCCCCTATTCCATCCGTTGATATTTGGAACAGAGTTGTTTGATCACACATCACAGTATAATCCATTTCACTGCAGGTGCAGCCCATCACTGCATGATCAGACAGCATGTTTGGGTGAGTGGGGAGGGTTGCCTTTATGTGCGCATGCGAATAATGAGGAATTGAACCCCTGTGCAGAGTTCTCCATGGAGTTTTCCATGGACTGATTATGTGGTTATGTGCATATCACTAAGTGGGGGCGGGGATGGTGCCAAATTGGGATGGATTGAGTAATTCATCCCAATGGCCTCAATGTGCACTTCAGTGATCAGACTACTATGTTCAGTGAAGGTCTTTTTTTAATTGCGGAGGAGCCCTCCGAACTTACATTCCCTTTCCTAAAGCTTAACAAATCATCTGAGAAAATGCAAGCGGTGGAGTGGCCTTCTGTTGTGCATATTGAACACAGTGAACAGCACGGGAGGTGTCATAGCCCAGAATGTGCCAGTAAGGTGCCCTGCCTGCCTTTATTTGTCTGTCCATTACACAAGCACACAGGGTAGGCAATGGTAGTTGGATTCCCATGAGATGGACACAGACATAGGGATCTCTGCCTTACATGCCACAGAGCATAAACAGTGTACTTTGTGATTTTTGTGATATACGAGGTTGTCCTAACACAGGATGTTTTAGGACACATTAGAACTGCTGCATACTAGGATCTGCTATTACAAATGGTTGCGTATGTTTCCCCATCATGTCCTGTATCAGTTTGTAGAATGTTACTATATTCATATTTGAGCTTCGTATTTTATACTGCTGTCCTGCCTTATTTCCATAAAGATTATAGCAGCGTTTTCTGTGAGGTTGGCTAGAGTGAGAGAGAGGACTTGCCCAAAGCTTATCCCAGTGAGCAAAGTGCAAATGTGAGCCTGGATTTCTTGCATCCAACTCTTACCCAAAACGCCCACTGGCTCAAAGTTTGTGTATGTCATACGTTACCTGCAGTCATCACCTCCGGTGCTGATCACATACTTGTCATCATGAGAAAAGCGAATGTTGGTGACATGTGCAGAGTGACCAAAATAGCGCTTGTGTTTGGCCTGTTGGCAAAAAAAGAAAGAAAAAGTCAAGACAAGATTTCTGGCAGTAAGTGCAAGCTTGTACCTTGCAGCCACTTTGGGGTGGTATCAAAATGTAAATAAACATCATATTGTTAAGTCTGGACATTTCTAAGAGGTTTCAAAAAGGTGGTCCACAGCCACCCACCCTCCCCTCCTCGACGAAGCTACAATGCTCACTTACAAATTTTTCAGTGCAGGGGAAATCAAAGAGTTTGACTAGTCCAAAATCATCTCCAGAGACAATGTTTAGGCCAGCGTGACTCACACAAGCACAGTTGACATCAGCTTTATCTGCATTTCGGGGCCAAATGCCAATGACTTCATCCCCAAGGATGCTGCTCCAAAAGAGGAAAGAGAAAAGAAGAAAGCAGTTGGGGAAGATGGGAATAACACTGCCCCCCCCCCCCAAGCTTCAAGGGAATGCTGCAAACAGTCTGCTCCCCAGCTGGCCCAGGCTGCAAAGTCTGCCGGCTGCAAAGCCCAACTTGATATGAGACAAGCTTTCCTGTGCGGCAGAAGGGGGTCCCTTGTTACACCGAGATTTGGACTGGAGACAGCCCAGCAGTTCAATAAGAAGATAATGGGGGAATGGAGTGGGCTGGTGTGATTACTAACCACAGCTGCCTTGTAAACTTAGCTACCATTTTTGGGTCCCTATGAGACCTGGGGTTTGGGAGGAGGGACTTTCTGTCTCCCTTGCTGAGATGAATATAGAAAACCAGCTTTGCTCTTATCTATGAAAACTCATGCCTCATTCATTTGGTAAGGTTTTCTCATGTACATTCCAGAGGGTAGACATTGCAGTCAAACCAACACAGATTCTGGTGATAATTTAAAAACTAGCAAATGTGTTATTGAGGATTTCATTATCAAGGGATGGCTTGCCTGTGTGAATGAACAAGCACAGATCTAACACTGCAGGCAGAATTCCCCATCTCCTCATGTCTCATATAGTCGTCAGTTTATGCATTCAGCTTCCGGTCCTAAAGAAAGCTAGTGATGACCATTCTTGTGTGAATCAGGCCTTGGTCTTTAGGGTGCCAGAAGATCTTGGACAATTTTGGCTGCACCAAAACTGACATGCCTACCCTTCTGCAATATACACCCATTACTCTTCCAGACAGCTGACTGCCAAGTTCTGCTCCTCTCTTGCTGATCACTACAACCCCCTTGTGTTCTTGCATGCCCCTCTCCTCAGACTGGTTTGGCCAAGTCCTCCTCCTTGGCTTATATTTAGGCTGTAGGCCATGTTGACACAAATGAATTAACTTCAGTTCTTTTAAAAACAACATCAACAACAAAGTCCTTATTGGTCTTTTAATGTGGTTCTGTAGGTACCTGTTAGCAAAGTGTACAGCACTAAAGTGCATCCACCTAATTCTAGTGAAGAAATCCCTAAGCATGTTGGGTCTAGGAATGGTTAGCAGAGCAGATGACTGTGGAACCCAGAGCCCATGAACGTGAGATGACAGAAAAGGTGGTCAATCCAGAGGAAGATGTCTACCTGCCTACGTGCTGGATCGATCGGTGCTATAGCAAGCTCTTTTAACGGATTTTCGCACCCAGTCCCTCGGGCATGCGCAGGAACCCCACCGCACATGCCCAGAGGGGTGGGCGCGGACATCCCACCAGTTCCTACAAACCTCCGCAAATCAACCCCTATTAAAAATGTAGAAGCTGACAGCAGCGGGGAAGGAGGGTGGGTGGTGTGAATGCACACATGACCACTCGAAGATCACCAGTTACTGGTAAGCAACCTGCTTATCTTGAGCAGTAGGCTGACTTGGGTAAATGACCATCAGAGTGGAGGAAAAGAGAGCCAGTTGTTCCTCAACACTGAGTTTGCAGTGCCAGTACCAAATTCCATTAGTGTTAATCACACAAGTCAACCTGACACCAGCAGGAGAGGAGAATTTGATGAAGACTCTCTGGAGAGCTTTAGTAGCATGCCAGATCCAGTGGATCCAACTACTGTGACAAAAACATTCAAACCAGAAACAGGCAGTGATCTTTCTGTGACTGAAGCTTTGAAAAACACCATTTATTCTGAAGTAGTTACATTGATATCTCAAAACGAAGCTCACCCTCAAGTCCTAATTGAGCTTTTTCATGAACTTCAGGGGCTAAATTCAGACTATTTGAGACAAAGAGCACTGTATATGTTATAGGATATAGTAGCCAAGCATCCAACAGAAGCCAGAACAAAAGCAAAAGGTCCACAAACCTCTGAACTCAAAGGCATGGCTAAGATCTAATTTAGAACTTACTCCCAGCGAAAGACTTGCTACTACTGATGATGAGACATTAGAGAAGAGCTTTGACCCCAGAGGACCTGCAATGCATTAACCTGACGTTGTATTCTCTTTAATGTTTATCAAAATACTGTTTTACTGTTTTATTATTGTTTTTTATGTTAATATTGAGTGAGTTGAAAGGGCAAACCACAGCCCAAATCTTGTGTGCACACCGCATCAATGGCGATCCAGGGAAGGACCCCATGATTTGGTCTGGTGGGGGGGGTGTCATGATCTGGGCTGTGCCACCAGAGGCCTACTAGGCCCAGGGAGCCTAGCTAGCAGTAGGTGAGGCTGGGCCTACAACTCCCAGAAGCCCCTGAGAGGTTTTGGAGCAAAAATTGACCAATAGGAAAAGAGGAGGGCTTGGAATAAAAGATCTAGAGCAGCAGGAAAAGCTGTTCTTTTTCCCAGAAGGCAGAGCCAGAAGGAAGGCTACTGCAGGGAAGTAACCCTCATCCTGAGGGAAGGGTGAGTAGTCTAAGGCCACTACAGATAGGGAGCTAGGGACAGTATATATTTAGACGCATTAGGGCATTTGATTTCTTTTCACCCACCTACTGTTATTCTGCACCTTGTTGTTTGACCTCCTATAAAATAAACTATTTTCATTGTTCACTCTGCCTGGTCCTCATGCCTATTATTCGGCCAAAAGGGAGGTCTGAAGGTCTTGGGAGGGTGCTCTGGGCCTTCTCAAGGGATCCTAAATCCAGAGTGGTGGCAGCGTCAGGTGACACCCCACCTGAGCCGTGACATCTAATGGATATTTTGTGGATTTTGCCTGATAGTGTGGTTGCCTTGATTTGTTTTTGTTTTGTTGTTTTGCTATGACTTTGGTTTCATGCAATAAAATTAATTGATTGAAAGACTACAGACACTATAGAGTTTATTGAGCTGGCAGAAGAAGGACTGCAGAATCTTATATACTGTGTTCTGGTGTTCTAAAAGAGTGAGAATTGTCTCTTAAAGGCAGGCAGGTAGCAGGAAGGAGAGAGCTGCCCTGTACTTTTAAATGGTCCAATTATTTTTCCTGAGAAATTTTATTCCTGAATGGTAGGCAATTTCCATTTCAGGCTGCTCATGCTGGTGGGATCATATATTTGACTATTCCCACACAAAACCCGAAACCAAATGAGGAAATTTCCCTGCACATAGGCAATTAGCATGAGACAAATATTTCATCTACTATGTTCAGTGAAGGTCTTTTTTTAATTGTGGAGGAGCCCTCCGAACATACATGCCCTTTCCTAAAGCTTGACAAATCATCTGAGAAAATGCAAGGGGTGGAGTGGCCTTCTGTTGTGCATATTGAACACAGTGAACAGCACGGGAGGTGTCATAGCCCAGAATGTGCCAGTAAGGTGCCCTGCCTGCCTTTATTTGTCTGTCCATTACACAAGCACACAGGGTAGGCAATGGTAGTTGGATTCCCATGAGATGGACACAGACATAGGGATCTCTGCCTTACATGCCACAGAGCATAAACAGTGTACTTTGTGATTTTTGTGATATACGAGGTTGTCCTAACACAGGATGTTTTAGGACACATTAGAACTGCTGCATACTAGGATCTGCTATTACAAATGGTTGCGTATGTTTCCCCATCATGTCCTGTATCAGTTTGTAGAATGTTACTATATTCATATTTGAGCTTCGTATTTTATACTGCTGTCCTGCCTTATTTCCATAAAGATTATAGCAGCGTTTTCTGTGAGGTTGGCTAGAGTGAGAGAGAGGACTTGCCCAAAGCTTATCCCAGTGAGCAAAGTGCAAATGTGAGCCTGGATTTCTTGCATCCAACTCTTACCCAAAACGCCCACTGGCTCAAGGTTTGTGCACGTCATACGTTACCTGCAGTCATCACCTCCGGTGCTGATCACATACTTGTCATCATGAGAAAAGCGAATGTTGGTGACATGTGCAGAGTGACCAAAATAGCGCTTGTGTTTGGCCTGTTGGCAAAAAAGAAAGAAAAAGTCAAGACAAGATTTCTGGCAGTAAGTGCAAGCTTGTACCTTGCAGCCACTTTGGGGTGGTATCAAAATGTAAACGAACATCATATTGTTAAGTCTGGACATTTCTAAGAGGTTTCAAAAAGGTGGTCCACAGCCACCCACCCTCCCCTCCTCGACGAAGCTACAATGCTCACTTACAAATTTTTCAGTGCAGGGGAAATCAAAGAGTTTGACTAGTCCAAAATCATCTCCAGAGACAATGTTTAGGCCAGCGTGACTCACACAAGCACAGTTGACATCAGCTTTATCTGCATTTCGGGGCCAAATACCAATGACTTCATCCCCAAGGATGCTGCTCCAAAAGAGGAAAGAGAAAAGAAGAAAGCAGTTGGTGAAGATGGGAATAACACTGCCCCCCCCCCCCAAGCTTCAAGGGAATGCTGCAAACAGTCTGCTCCCCAGCTGGCCAAGGCTGCAAAGTCTGCCGGCTGCAAAGCCCAACTTGATATGAGACTAGCTTTCCTGTGCGGCAGAAGGGGGTCCTCTGTTACACTTGTTTTCAAGTGAATCAGTGCATTAGGGATTCTCCATTCTTTTGGGTTTGTTTTATTTCTGAATTCTGTGTTTGGTATAATAGGGGCATGTGTGTGTGTGGATTGTAGCTGCTTTTAGCCCCACCTCCCCTCCAATTCAGCAGTGGCAAGGAGCAAAGGCTGGGAGAGAGTGCTGTCAGAAGCAAGCAGTGGGAAGCTTCTCTTGTGCAGGAGAAGTTGTCAACAGGAGTAGTTGAGAACTACTTTTAATCCTTCGTGCTGCATCACCTTGTCCAGGTGGCCCAGGTGATCTTGCCGATGTGTGAAGTGTCTGTCACTTGCTTTCCTAGTGGCACCTCATGAACCTGGCGTTTGTAGGCACCAGTTGACACCTGAGGAAGGAAAGAGGAGGTTGCATGGATGGTGATGAACCCAAATCTATTGCGATGTAAGCTGCCCTGAGCCAGCCTCGGCCAGGAGGGCAGGGTAGAAATTCAATAAATCAAATCAAATCAAATTGCTGTTAGTGCCATTGTAGGCTAGTGGCTCTCTTTGCACTAATAGCGCTCTATAGAATATAAAGAAATGTGTCTAGCCCTGCACGTGTGCACCTATAAGTGCTCTTTCTGCATTAACAAATGCAGGTACTCTCAGTCAAAATTATGGTGCAGCATCTGTTTCACCTCTATGACTGCTACAGTGACTGAAGCAATTAACAACAAAATAACTACTACAACTCATATCTGGGATTAACTAGCTACCATCTTGATCCAAGATGTTGTGTTTTCACCAAGACACATACCATAAGCAAGCAAGATGTACACCAGCTACAAAGAAGCATTTTCAGAGTCAGAAATATTTTATACCCATATAGACAGCTTTCACTGAATGCACAGATCTTGGCAAATTCACACATCACAAAGAAGCAAAACTTAAAAAAAAATTCTAGGGACTGGTGGCAGCTAATTGTATTTCCCTAACAAGTGTACCTTTGTGAGGTATGTTTGCAGACATGCTTGTAACACTCATGGATGAACACTTTAGGCGTACATGTAAACTGTAATGTGATGAGTGGCTTGACAGGTACAATGGAAGACCTTGAAGTAGTTTTCCTTTTTCAAGCTCCTAAGCTGCATGCACACTTTGTTCTTTGTTTTCAAGCAGTTTTGTCACATGGGTTGTTCTCAGTGCAGCAGTAAACCTGTCTCTGGAGATGGCAGGCAATTACTAAGGCGAATGAATGATTTCCTCATGGGGGGAAAACAAACATGACAGGGGAAATGCCTGGGAAGGCTCATTCTGTCTAATGTATCAGTTTTGTACGTGCAGAAAGCTTTTCTTGTGTGGAGATGCATTCACTGATGTGAGTTACCACTTGCAGGCTAGGCTTGAATGAAACATTTCAGTAAGAATCAAGCTGAGGACCTAGGCCACGGTTTTGCTGATCATGGGCATTCAGGATAGGATATAATCTGTCTTCATAGGGGTAACTCTGGACCAATAGAGCTGGTTAATCCAACAGTGCAAATCCTATGCAGAGTTCCTCCAGTCTAACCCTACTGATTCCAGTGGACATAGTTTGGAGTAACTCCACACAGGACTACTCTGTAATTAATGGAACAAGCTGGGGCTAAAACTTCAAGGCATTTCATTAAGGCCTAAAATATTGTTTAACAATACATGGAAAGGCTTTGAGTTAAAGTAGTCTGTGTGTACATAAATACAAATTCTGCTGTATAAGTTCAAAGTTAAACCAGGGTTATTACACCTAGGTGGGTATTTTTACCTTCATCTCCCTCCTCCTACTTCCCATTTATCTCTTTTCCACTGTTCCTTCCTATGAGAATATTTGTATTACAAACTTTATAACAGCAGCACTTAGACCTATTAAACGTAAGCTCCTCTATGTTCACGTACTGATTGCTTTGCCTTCTTGCTTTCTTCCCATGTCTCCTATGCTTCCAGCCTTTGACAAAAAATGATTTCTCTGCAGAAACGTATTGTCTATGAAACATTATTATCCACCTGGAGACTTACCTACAAGGAAGTTGGTAAATCTTATGGAAGAAATAAAATGTGTGTGCCGGCCTACCTGAATGTATTTGCTGTCTGCTGAAAAATCCATCTGGATGACAAAGCTTGGAATGTCCTTACAGTAGCCTATCCGGTTCAAGGTTGTCCCTTGGGTGAGGTCATAAAAGTCGACAGTGTGCTCCTGGGAACCCACTGCCAGAAACCGGTTATCAGGGCTGATTCTAGACAGTGGGGGGGGGGAACAGAGGAGGAGGCTGTTAAGACAATGCTGGGCTGTAAGCCGCAAAGTGCAAGGAGATTTCTTCACTTGGGAAAGGCCACTTGGTTGAATGTACTTGCTTTAAAGCAAACCTCTCCACTGTGATGGATACTGGCAGCCCCAAAGCCGGACAGATTTGTGAAGTTTTAGGGTGACCCCCTAAGAAAGCTTTTTGTCCTTGATAAGTTGCTTGTCAATGGAATTGATATGGTGCCGATTAGAAAGCCATTTTGAAGCCAGATATGCACCCTAGCTGAATCAGATTTCTTGATCACATGGCAGACATGACAGAAAATGCTAAAATCCAACTTCCTCACAAGAGTTGTTCTCTTTAATCCGTTCTCATTTGCAGCAGTAAACTGCAATTTACTCCTGGTGGCACCTGGTATTTTTGGCTACTGTGTGACAGAGTGTTGGACTAGATGGGCCTTATGTTCTTATGTTATGTTCACAATAGATCACAATAGAACTTCTATGATGTAAGCTTTCAAGGCATATAGTTTAATCTAATCAACCCAATCTTGCCTGCTTTTTAAAAAATTTCCTATAGACTCTAGATGTGCCCAAAGATGATGAAATTTTTCTCTGCTGTTGTTGAAAAAAAGGTGTTGATCAGCATGGAGGTTTCATCTAATTACATTCTGTCACACATGAACGGTCTGAGGTAATCTGCTGAGATAATCTTCAAGAGCCCTGCTCTACATTCTCTTGACTTGGGGACTTCCGTAGTAAGGTGCAGGGCTTTTGTGTGGAGGCATCAGGATCAAGAAGAGCACAGTTACATGCCTCCCTCTGACCTTCATATATTTGTGTGAGACCCATCAATTCAGAAAGACAATTGCTCTGAGAATTGGTACCAGCAGATGGACTTGCTGGTTAACAATAACCTATCACACTATCCTGTCCATCCTTGTCCGTGCCCAGGGCAGCATACAGAGCTCTCCCCTCCCTTGTTTTATCTTCAAAACTACCCTGTGAGGAAGGTGAGGCCAAGAGAGAATGATGGAGTCAAGGTCACCCAGTAGGTTTCACAATGGACCAGGGGTTGAACCCACCCTTCCTAGATTTTCCCCTAACACCTTAAACGTTATACCGTACAGACTAGCAGGAGACTGTGAACGGATATACAGCTTCTGTTTTATAGGTTTTGATCCAGTGGGAAAACTGCGGAAGGAGTTGGCAGAGCTGATCTTTTCCTGCCTTCCCCTTTCCCAACCAGCCAAAATCCTCTCTGAGCATTGGGAGAGGGAGGAGGAGGAGGAGGTTTCACCAGATGCCCCTCATTATGTGCCCCTCTCAGAGGATATTTCTGGGATGAAAAGCAGGCTGCTTGAGGAAGCAAAAGATCCACCCTGGCAACCTCTCCCACAATTTCCCCTGCTGCATTCTGTCCACTAGCTTTATTTATTTATTTATTTAGCTACTTGCTGGCTTTTAGAGTGGCGTGTGGAGTATCGCCTTCAGTTGCAGTGCTTTCCATTTGCCCCTGTTCACCCACTCAGCTGCAGGGGGTCGAGTGCTCGGTAACAGGGAATCAGACGACACATGAATATGAGGAAGTAACCCGTGTTGGAACTAATACCTCAGGGCCCCATTTATTTACTTCATTTATAGCCCGCTTTTCTCCCCAAAGCAGCTTACATTCTTCTCCTCTCCTAATATGACGTCCATTTCAACCTCACAATGTCACTGTGAGGTAGGTTAGGATGAATGTGTGTAAGTGGCTCAAGGACACCCAGCAAGCTTCCACAACACAGTGGTGATTTGAACCCGGGTCTCCCAGATCCTAGTCCAGCACTCTAACTTCTACACCACAGCACTACCTTAGCCACCTTGAATGCTGTTCCCTGTTTTTCTGCTCCGGCCAAAGTACCTGATGTCCTGGATAGCAGACTTCCGGTCTCGTTTTTTACCCCAGACCTTAAGGCTGTTCACAAGCAAAATGATGAATTCTCCATTCTTCATGCCAATAGCAACCATCTCGCCATCAGGGCTATAGGCAGCACATCTGGCAGCGTGGCCCAGATTCACCTTATTCAGCAGTTTCTGTACAGCAAAGATGACGGGAATTTGATATACTGACTCATGTCACACTCCATATACTTTTGCATTGAACACATAAAGTCCCATGCAGCTACCCATGCACATGTAGCTCCTGCCAGCTAATTAGTGATAGAGACGATCGGCTATTTGGACAAAGGAGGGAATGCAGCAGACAAATCCAGTCCCTGCTCCCTCTCTCCTGAGCAGCACTACTGGTGGTCTTTTGACTGGGACTAAGTGCATCCTGTCCTGGCTCTGTGTACAGCACCCTTTTTGGGTGCATGGTTCCTCACCCAGTTAGTCATACATGTGTGTGGGGAAGCCCCTTTCCACTTGCACATGTACCCTAGCTGGATCAGGGGGGTTCAGTTCAATTAACGTAACATGTCAATAAGAACAATAGTGAATCCAGTTCCCTTGTTACATGTCATTCAGTTTTGCATAGGGAAAAATGGGCCATCTTTCTCTAAATTAAAAAAAATAACCCACCACTGTTTTAGTTCTTTGTTAGTATTAACTGTAATTTATAGAGGTCTCCCAATATATGAAGACCATTAACATATTTACAGTTTGCAAATAGCTTTACAATTGTTGTAACAATTATAATTAGCAGTAGCAATAATTGGAGTATTCTGGGAGATTTGGGTTGAAGCAATACCTTCAACTGGTCTCCTGTATAGGTCTCTGGGCATGATCCAGCCAATTTAATTCCATGGAAATCAGATGAATCTGACGTGGCTTACTTGAGTCTGGCCTCGGTTTCTCATCTTTAAGACTGAGATATTTTTGTAACCTATCTCATCAGGCTGTTTTAAGGTCAAACTAAGGGAAGGTTATAAAACAAATAAATATAAATAAAAATAGTTTGAAAATCAAAACTGATAACTTCTAGCAGCTGCATCAAGTAATTCTTCAAGTTTCTTGCATGTCTTTCACACAGGAATGGGCTTGTATGCTTTTCCCAGTGCTGCCATGGCTGTTGATAATATAACACAGCGACACTGTGGCTTCCTCAAGGCCCATTTCCCTATATTCTCTCTGCCCCAAAACCTTGCAGTAGCCATTCCCCCTGCATAGCACTAGCAGGCTTTTACATGTTGTTGTTTTTTTAAAGCAGCAATTGGCCTATCATTATAGCATTACTCTATTATATTCTTTGAATTACCAGTTTTCATTTTAAAAAATTGGGGGAGGCCCTTTTGTTGCAGAGATATAATGCGAAAGGCAAATGTCCACAACAAAAGTGGCTAGAGACTTATGTAAGAAATGGAAGCTAGGAATTCAAAGGGACTAGTGGACAGACCATCATAATGCTATAATAATATGTCAATTGCCTTTTTAAAAAAAGCCCTTCTGTAGCAGGAGATAGCCACTTCATGGGACTGGGGCAGGAAAAATGGCACCGATGTGGGTGGGACTGGGAAGATCGGGACTTCCCCATCCACCTGAGTGTTACCCTGACTTTCTCAAAATATCACGCCAAAGCAGTTTGGGGTGCACAGAAGCATCATGATGCTACAGAGAAGTGGGGAACCACCTGCTTCCCAGTAGCATCAAGCAGGGCCAAACAACCCATGTGTAAGTGACCTTGAAGGCATGTCTTTAAGTGCAAATGTCTCTTACTTTGTCACAAAGGTCCCAGATCCTTGCAGTTCCATCATTACTAGCAGAGATAAAGATGTCTTTGGAGGGATGGGTAGCTAAGCCCCAAATCTCTCCTTCCATGTGGCTGTCAATCAGCAGGTTTGAAGCACCATTTTTTTCACCAATTTCAAGTATTTCCCCATCCTTGCTGCCCACCAATATTTTGCCCTGTTGAAGTTTCAAACAAAGTCAAAATCAGTATTATAGAACACCACACACCGTAGGCAGATCTACACGACAAAGATATATTGGTTTTGTACCAGTTTCACAAAGACTCTCTGAACCCACAGTTCGGTACTGAGTCCCACCCCCCATGTAGATCCTAGGATTTTGTAAAGGGAGAGAATTACTATTAAACCAGACGAAGTTTATGATGATGCTATAAGGCTTCTGCCTGAATGCAGAGTGTAAGGCTCCACCAACCCATTACAAAGTCCTTGTGTTTGTTGGGGAACAACATGAGGACTCTGCATCACACATGCTATGAGAGTCCTGATACTCCCAGGCGCACATGGCATGCAGGGAGAAGTGGCTGTAGCCCCACTCCTTTTGTGTCCTCAAACTAACCCATGGAGCTGCTACTAGTTCTGTTGTAAAAATCATGCTATTCATGTGGCTACACATAAGTTTCACAATGGAGCTAACCGTAGCTCCATGGGCTGGTTTGAGGATGCAAAAACAGGATGTGTGTGTGGGGGGGGGGTAGGGGTGAGCACAATCCAGAGAACTTTAAGCATCCTTAAGGGCCATTTAAATGCTTATCTGTTATGATAACGGCTAGTTTATCTTCAATTCTTTCCCAATAATCCCTAGCGTAGAATTTGCCTTTTTTTAAAAACCACTGCTCTACCAAGGCAACATTTTCATTGAATGTACGTGTCACTGAATGTAGATGTCATTGAACATAGGTGACAGTGTAGATGTCATTATGATTTTTTTGGCCACTTTGTGCATCACTTTACATTTGCTTACACTCAGGGGTCATTTCCTGCAGGAGTGCACAGGAGCGGAGCTCCGGCAGTAAAGAGCCCAAGGGGCGGGCACATGCAACAAGCCTCACCCCCTGCACCCAGGAGCCCTCAGTCAGAGCAAGAAGCAGGCAGGTAAGTTGCAGAGCCCCCCCCCTGGCCCAAAACAGTCCAGTGGCACCTTTAAGACCAGGTTTTATTCAGGTACAAGCTCTCCCTCCTCTGCGAGGACAGATCTGCACATTCCCCCCCCCAATAGCTAGCAATCCAAAACAGTCCAGTGGAGCCTGAGTGGTGGGTGTTGCCTTCTGACACATGTCCGGTGATGTCAGGGGGTGTGGCATATGCAAATAATTTATGCTAATTAGCTCCTGCACATCTTTTTCTACGAAATGACCCCTGCTTACACTAAAATTCGTTGGCCAAATTGCTGCCCATTTACCCACGCTGGGGAAATTCTCTTGGAGCTCTTCACAGATTGGTGCCATGTGCACACTTGGCCACTTTACTCTTTACCCTTGAGTCCAGATCATTTATGAACAAATCAAACTGTGTCTGACTCAGTGCACATCCCTGGGAGATCCCATGCTGAGAACCATCCCTTAGTCGTCCTACTCCTACTAGCTGCTTCCTGTTGTTTAACCAACGGTTTAGACCAAGAGAGGACTTGCTTGCTCATCCTTTGTCAAAAGCCAGATGTATTTTACATAAACACATTGCCCCAAATTTCTTACCCACTGATGGGTTACGGTAACAATTTGTCTCACCATGTGGCTGGACATTATGTACAATCCTGGTTCATACGTATTCTGGTGAGTTCACAAATGACTGCCAAACGGTGAATATCTGTGTGCAGTCATTCTGAATTCTCAGACATCTGGCTTTGCTGTCTCAATTTCACCCCTATGCTAAAATATCATATGGTGTATTTGTGTATATCAGGAATTCACATGGATAAGTCCCTGGATTATTCTAGAGACATACTTGCAATCACTATAACCTGCCATAAGCCCTGCCACCCTACCAGTTATCATTAGCTTCATACACATGTGAGGCGACCTTCAGATTCTCCTGATTCACATAATGCACAATGTCAGTAGTGAGGGCCTCTTGTGAAGGGAGCAAATAAGGATCTCACATACCTTCCCTCTGCACACGGAGCGCACACACTCCACCAGCTGCCCTGTCTCCAGCTGAAATGCTCGGCAGCGCTTCATCTCCTGGTCCCACAGTTTCACAGCACCTCCTTCTTTCGTTCTGAAAAGGAGCCAGTCAGGACGTCACTGAAGACACAAACTGGCATGTATACGTGCCCAAGTCCCCATGATTCTGCTGCAGGCTGTACCTTTTTCTGTAATGTCTGAAGGGCATCCAATGCAGTAATAAACAAATGTTTACTGGGGCAAATGTTTCTCACGTGTTTTCAGACTCTCAAATCCCTCTCAGACTTCACACAAAATTCAGGAGATCCAGAAGGGAAACTTGGGCACCATTCTTTTGCTGTAACATGTGAGGCAGTCCTCATTTACCAGAATTTATCAGCTATAGAGTCTGAAAAATGATACTTCCAAAAGCGAATGTTTAATTTTTTTAAAAATGGAACCTCTTTTAAAGAAGCATTCCACAACCAATAGCAGACAGCCCACCAGCCCAGGCACTTTCAAGCAACACATGATGACCTATTGCTTGTCGCCTGCACCTAGTAATGAGATACAGATCCTCTAAAGCATAAAAATATGATTCAAGGATTCCCATTTTCTTCATTTTCTGAAGTGGCACGTAATCCTGAGCCTCAGGGCTACTTCACTTGCGTGCACTTTCACGCTACGCAAGGACAGCTTCATATGAAATGCTGCCTTCAATCTGAACAACCTCTGCCTAGAAAAATGTGATCCTCTCCTCCCACCTATGCCTCCCCATGAACAAACCCCTTCCCCCTTTCCCATTTGTGTGCAACTATGGGAGACAACAGCACCTACCTAACCCCCATGAATGATATTCAGGCACCCCAGGATCCAAAAATGACGCAATGATGGATTCAGATCCTGGTTAAATAAGGAAAGTTAACTACAGCTAAGGTAGGTGTCAATGTTTCCCTTTACTCCCAAGAGGGAAAGGGCTGGGAGGAAGGAGTGTGTGTTCTGGAGGTTATCCCGGAAGGGAGCCAGAATCATATGTGGCTGGCTATATGCTTTGTACAGGAAGTTCCTTTCTTGCTCTCTTTTAGAATTGCATGTGCTAGTTTGTTATGAGTTTGGCCGTCTTGATCATGGTGCCTGGGCCAATTCCTCTGGCTGTTCCTGATGAGTCTGACGGATCACCAGTGAGTTAACAAATGAATATGAATTGCCCTTAATGGCCTGGAATCCCCGTCCAGGGTCTGGGAAGTGATACCTGTCAGTTGTGGATGAAGGGCAGTGAGACAGCTAAAATAAGTTAGCAGTTTGCCTCTGGAGACACAACAGACTGCTGGGAGTTTTTAGTTGGATTTAGCTAAAGATGGGGTGTTGCTCTGGGGGATGACACAAGGTGATCTTTGGGAAACAGCTGTAAGATTAACAGTTGTGCTGTCTGCTTTAGCAGTGTTTTTGATCGCTGGTCCTTCCCACTGCAGCCCCTCTAAGCTTCCCCAGAAGTATGTAGGAACAGGACGCCTTCAAGCTATAGTCCCCTGCATTGCCTGCCATGCTGTTCCCAAGGGCTTGCCATCCCTTAAAGGGCGGCTTTTTGTGAGGCTCAAAAGTTGCAATGAAAAGAGGAAAGGGGCAAAGATCCCTTTCGCAAGCTTGATCTATCTGTGGTCAATTGGATCCGACAAGTCTTTATTTATAAGTAAGTAACTAAACACTACACAGAACATGACTTTCTCACTTTCTCTCTCAACTAAAGAAAACTAAACATGCAGTACTGCCATTTAACCTAACTGCTCAAGAAGGCAGAATGTGCCCAACAGTACTTTTCTTCATCCAGCTTGTTGGAATCCTTCACACTTCTAGTTAGTTATTTGCATTTCTCTCTGAAACAGGAAGGGGTTAGTAGGCAACTGTAGACAGAAACAAGTTATAGTTTCTTACGGTCTCTCCTTCCCTCCAGTAACGATGAGGCCATCTCGAAGAGTTGTGTACATTGTAAAGACGGGTCCTGTGTGGGCTTTTGCCACCAGCCGAATCAGAAAATGATCCTTCCAGACATACACGTCTCCATTGATGGCACCAGTGAAAGTAAGATTGTTCTGAAAGAAACATCAACAGCGATCTGCCTTGTAAATGTCATTAATTGTACATCTCCATTATGTCTTGACCTGAAGAAGTGAGCAGTGGCTCATGAAAACTCATACCCTGCCACTCTTGTTATTTTCTAAGTCTTGACCTAGTCAAGCTGGTCCTCTGCACCAGTGGCCAAGCTTCTGGACCAGTGTTGGCAGGTTCTGTATGCCACAGGAGGACCATGCTTCTTTTTTTCAGACTGAGGCCCAAGGCCCAAAATGTATAATGCCCCTTAAGATATCAGATCATATAACAGAGGCACGTTATTATTAAGCAGTTTCTGTATCATTAGGACTTCCATATAAACATGTTCGTTAGCATCATAGGTATGTAAAAAGGAAGCTTTGATAGTAGAATAAGGAACATTTCTTACAACTTTTTTCATTTTTATGCCAAACGTTTTACTATAGCAACAAGGTTTCCTTTGTAAAGTGGGCCACCAGACAACAGAAAGGCATGGCAATATTCAGGGGTCAGTTTGTAGAAAAAGAGGTGCAGGAGCTCATTAGCATAAATTATTTGCATATGCCACACCCCCTGACATCACTGGAAGTGTGTCAGAAGGCAACACCCACCGCTCAGGCTCCACTGGACTGTTTTGGATTGCTAGCTGTTTGGGGGGGGGACGAGCAGATCTGCCATCGCAGAGGAGGGAGAGCTTGTGCCTGAATAAAGCTTGGTCTTAAAGGTGCCACTGGACTGTTTTGGACCGGGAGGCTGGGGGGAGCTCTGCAACTTACCTGGCTGCTTGCTCTGACTGAGGGCTCCTGGAAGCAGGGGGTGAGGCTTGTTGCATGTGCCCACCCCCTGGACTCTTTACTGCCGGAGCTCCGCTCCTGTGCGCTCCTGCAGGAAATGACCCCTGGCAATATTACTAATAACCTCACCTGACTGTTGTATGGATGAATAAGATATTTAGGGTTGGATCCAAAGAACCTCAAGGGGAAGTCAAGTAGCCACTAGCATGGTCTGCAAAGGCCTGTGCAACAGGCTACATAAAACGTTAATGTAATACTGTAAGAAGCAGGTTCACTTCTAACTGGTTCTAAGGCAGCTCTCTTACATGATCTGTAGGTTGTCCAAGCCCATGGACAAGGTGAAAACATCTTTGGCTGTAGGTTTATGTTCCTAGAGCAATGGTCTAGCTCATGGCATAAAACAGTCTTTCTGTGAACAGACATCACCATCTCTAGGAGCAATGGTACGTCTGGATCCAAGCCATATAAGGTAAAGAATTTTCTATTCCAAACTTGCTAAAGAAATCAGTAATAGTTTAGGGCTACAACTTGGGCCTGGGTGTTTTCTTCCCACCAGTGCTTTTTTTGTAG